TTTACCGAACAGAAAACAGACAAAACCCTATACTAATGCTATTTGTACACGAGAGTTGAGATTATGCAACTACCTCAAAACTTGGCCTTCTATATTTCTCCCTGGCATTGTGTCTGGGAAAGAACCGGTTGCTCTGAGATTACAAAGCAAGGCATCACGCCCTGTCAACACTATTTTGAAAAAGCCATCCACTTCCTTTGAAAGAACATCTAGTCCTTGAGAGAGTTTTGCTGTCAGCCTCCCCAAATCTGAAACAGAGCTCTTAAATGATTCCACTTCAAAATCGCCCAATCCTTCTTGGATCATGGGATTCAAGTTCTTGACACATGCATTGACAGCATCTAATTCTTTTATCACTGTAAATTGTCCATGAGAAAATATATTTCTTATTTCCCCATTCACATAAGTCTGCAAATCATTGAAAGCCTGTGCCCACAATACCGTATCAGGAATGGTCAACTCTTTCAAATTCTTAGCAGAACCAGAGAAAGCTGCAGCGAAGACACTACAGATATATACAGTCTCCACCTTAACTCCATACATTGCACGCATCAATACCTTTCCCTTGGCAGACTTCTTGACCTCGGGCATGTTCAATGATTCCACAAGACTCTCTAGGATTGGTCGACAAGTTTCAACTCTAGGGTTTTTTGAGCTAATGTGTTGTCTCCAGCTCTTAAGTGAAGAACTAGCACGAATAAACCGGTCTGATGAGTTGGACTCCAAATTGTGCAAGAGACATTGAAGCAAGATATTACCTTGGTTGAGCCTTGTAAGCTCAGAGCTAAAAGCAATGCAAATATCCAGCAACTTCACACTGATGTCCAAGTACACATCAATCCATTTCTCGTCCCATTCAGACACAGGGAGCTCAAGCTCAGCAATCAGCGTCTTTATGTCATTGTGAGTTTCATATAGCGACTCCATTGCCAGTTTCATCCATGATAAGCTAAGGACATCATCCTTGTCTTTTGGTATCAGTTTTTGCAGCCTCTCTGACAAAGTTCCTTCAAAACCATTTAATTGATGATGAAGCCTTGGAGACAACTGAGAACCCCTAGATGATATATTCCGGAAAGGATTTCCAAAGGGAAAGAAATGGCGATGTGGTTCCTGGGCACGACTCATTAGATCTATTTACTGCAAAAGTTTAAAAACAAAATGAATTATCAAATTCAAAAGCAGCTTTAAAAATTAGATGGCTTTCTCCAGTTCCAGTGACCATGACAATCTTATTTCATCAAATAGGTCATCAAGGATAACTAGATCTAGAAGATTAACAAACAATAAATTCCAGGAAAGCCTTATAACAAAACAACCAAGCAGATCATAACCATCATCTTGAAGGAGGAAGTTACTTCCTTTTCTCCACTATATTAGTTACAAAAAATGAAAAATCAAGTAAAAAAGATATGTACACAAAACTGCATATATACACAAACATACAACACTTATATCTTTTCATTCATTTGTGTTTCAAGAAATTCAAGCTTTCAACCGCTATCATGTTCTTCATTTGAGACGGAGGTCAATTAGAATTGCCATCCCAGAAAATTTAGCTGTTTCTGTTTGCCTAAAAGTTCACCCTACCTCAAAGAGATATATCATATTGATGCAAATTACAATCCTTGACACAGATTATTTGTTCTTTTACCGTTCGGATAGATGCACTAGTTACAGTCAAATATAGCTGTGGATCATTATACTCTCAATTTTAATAAAATTTTCCAAAAGATTATGGCTGCAAACTGATCATCTACCATTAGATATTTGTTGTTTGAAATAGATCCGCAAGCCATTAAAACGAAATTGCATAAAGTTCCCAATTCACAACAGGAATTGAAGGAACACCATGGCTACATCAGACAGACAAATTGTTTCTTCACAAAATAAATATTCTATCAATCCATAATGTTTAGGAGGATATCACATCAAGCAAGGCCCCATTAATTTGTTTAATAACAATTAATTACTAAAATAATATTTGCATAAAAATACATCACGATCCAATAACAAGATCAATTTCGATAGATATCAAGATTTCTAAAACAAATCATACAAAAATCCCCCAAAAAAAAAAAAATTCTACTAATGATTGAACAGAAAACTTACCTAAAAATCTCAGATCCTTAGACGAGACTACCGAATAACCCAAGCAAAACCGAAATCTATATGAATCCTTAGAGACCTTAATAGATCCCAGCAGACAGAAACCCTAACCTAAGTACTTTTTAGCCTTAAAAAAAAAAAAATTGAAATTCACACGGATGGAGGAAAAACCTTCAAAAGAGAAACCGTACCGAAAATTATAAATCGGAGACGATAGGAAATTTCGACGGAAATATCAAACGCGACGGCAAGTTCAACAACTTTCTACTTGCGTCCATCCTCCCCTTTATGTATGTAAATATGGAAGAGACTAGAACAGGTCGTCCCTAGTTGGAATCACTGACCGTTACTAGTGGTCTGTGACAGATACCATACGTGGAGGAAGATGAGTGGCAAATGGAGATAATGGACGGTGATTTTTTCGTTTTTTTTATTGTGATTTTTAAAGATTGCCGTCGGTCCATCCATCTGTCTATCACCAGCTCGCATTTGTTGAAATGTCAGCATAAATCCAACGAATACAAATTAGTGGACTTTTTGCTGCTTTGTAAGAGGCATCTAAAACTTTTATGCATAAATTTTTTTTTTTTTAACAATTTGTAATTATTTACAGGGTTAATTGAGGAAAGGGGAAAGGGATTCCGTAAGGTTGAAATGTGCAACCCACCAGAGGTGAACAGTTCTAATACAAGGTCCAATACCATTGGGCTGGAGCGGGCCGTTCTTTTATGCATAAATTTTATATTTTATATTCTTGTAAAATTTTAATAATTTATTTTTATTTTTAATAATTAAAATTTATTATAATTTTTAATTAAAAATAATTATTTTTAATAAATATAATTAAATTTTAATTATTAAAAATAAAAAATAATTAAAATTTTATGTGAATATAAAATATAGATTAAATCTTCAATTTGGTCCTTGAACTATTATACGGATTTATATTTAGTTCTTAAACTAAAAAAATCTTTGTTTTGGTCTTTGAATTATTGTATAGATCCTAATTTGGTTCTACAGTTTATCAATTTGCTCCAAATTGATCCTATCGTACAAAAAACAATAGTTGTCGTGTCTATTAGTTAACGATAAAAAATAATAATTTAATGGTCATATATCACGTTAATAATAAGACACATCAACTGTTTTTTATGTAGAATGATCAACTTGAGGCAAATTGGAGCAAATGGATAAACAGTAGGATCAAATCGGGGTTTGCACAATAGTTTAGGAACCAAATTATAAAATTTTTAATTTAAAGACCAAATTAAGAATTCATATAATAGTTTAAAGACCAAATTATGAATTTAACCTAAAATATAAAATCTATGTATAATTATATTCTTACTTTTTCTGCATGCATTAATTAATCGGGAAATTAAAATAAAGAATTTTGGGAATGTAGTTTGTATTACCCAGATAATACTTTTTTAATTACTAATGGAATGATGACCTTTCAATATTAGAATTTAAAAGATTTCGCCTGTCCTTTTTTTTTTTTAACAAGTATGATCTGGGAGTAGGAAATGAAAAATTGTAGTATAAAAATACATACTATGATTTAAATTTTAATTATTATTAAAATAGTAAATATATTTATTAAGTAGTTTAGGAAATCTGGTACAATTTTATTTGCTTATTTTATTTTTTTTGAACATGGAGAATCTTGAAAATGGGAAATTTTTTTTCAAGTCATTGATAGAAGTTAAATTATTGATTAATTAAACTCATATATTTAAGATTTAAGAATGAATTATTAGATTTAAAAGCTCAATTTTTATTTATTTATTTTAAACAAATTACAATTAAACCTATTCTACTAATAAAAATAGGAAAAGAGATAATTTAGATTCAAACTTTTAACTCGAAAGATATTCTCATAAATAACTAAGTAATAAATCACTTATTCTATGGTGAGGAATATCATGTTCTTATTTATTAATGACTATAAAAATTACAATTTACATTAAAAATTTGTATTTCACTTCTTTTATTGGAATAGTACTAATATATTATTGTTTCTTTGCTTAAATTACTTGATATAATTGATAAATTGCAGACATTTTCTTAGCCAAATTAACACGGTATTTCCGTTTTTTGTAAATGAGCTGTTGGTGAACGTTCCGAGAGACAGAAAACCACGGCAAAAATTCACTTTTAGCCCACCCTACTGATTTTTAAGGTTTTAATCAATTAGCTTATATTATAATATTTTTAACTCTCACCTTACTAGATTTATAATTTTAGCCCATCAGCTATTAAAATTGAAAAAAATAACCTTTAGTTTAAATTGACTGTTAATTTTGTTAGTTGAAAGTATATTTTTATTAACTAACAGTCAATTAATAACTAATTAATAAAATTAAAAAAATATTATAAAATTAATTATATTAATTTTATTAACTGAAAAAAAGTTTTTAACAGCTAATAGTCAGTTAATAAAATTAATAATTAACCAATAAAATTAACAAAATATTACAAATTGAGAACTATTTTCTTCAATTTGAATAGTTGAGGGGCTAAAATTGTCTTAATATAAGGTAAGAAATTAAAAATGTTATAATATAAAGTGAGGGATTAAAACCTTCAAATTTAATAAGATGAGGGGCTAAAAAGTAGAGTTTTGCCCGAAAACCACAGGCGCACAATGTTTTTACATTATCTAGTCCACAGAGACGGTTCGATTCTCCATAAGCTTTTTGAACTCCACAGGATTTCTATGCTTCTAGAAGACTTTAGACTCTACCAGTCTAGTCTAGAGAAAAGGGGAAAAGAAACTATGCGCACACGATACGGCAATGCGGTCGACGGAAGGTGTGACTTGGGAGTCTAGGGAGGGCCGTCCAAATAAGGGAAAGTCCATTGATCCATTCCATTCCATTCCAACTAGACCATTATTAGTCAGACAAAAATATGGGTCCCCCAAAAGCTGGATTTCTCTTGCACCTCAACCAACCTCGTTAGCGTAGGAAATACGAGTGAAACAACCACGTCAGTTATTGGAGCGCTTAAATTCTTATAAATTTCAAATTAAAAGTTTGCAAGTTTGGCCCATAAAAAAAAAAAAGTTTGTGAGTTTACCCAACTACTTAAGTAATTCAGTATTTATCTTTTTTTAAATTCTGAATTCAAATCGCACGACATACAAGTGAAATGTAATGAGATAATGGATAAAAGATGTTTACCTTTCATTATACAATTAAAATAAAAAATAAAAAGTTTGCAAGTTTGATTGATGAGAAAATATATAAATAAAGATATTAATTTTTTAATTTTTTTAATAAAGATATAAATTTTTAAGTTTTTTAATTTAAAAATATCAAATTTTAACTTATTTATTTAAAGATATCAATTTTAATATTTAAATAAAAAATCCATTTGTTATGTTAACTTCACTACTCAATTAATTTTTAAATAAAAAATTAAAAAATTAAAACTTTTAAATAAAAATTTTTTAAAGTTTATATTTTTGTTTAGAAATTTAATATTCTTAAATAAAAAAAAAAACAAAATTAACATTGTTATTTATATATTTTCTTTTTGATTCATTAAGTAAGAATACTTTTTCTCTATCTAATTTTAGTGGTTTTATTATGATTTTTTAAGTTTTTTAAAAATTAATTTCAAATAAAAATTTAACTAAACATATAAATTAAAATTAAAAATTAAAAAAGATTTTACTTTAATCTCAAGTAACATACATAATATCTGTTGAACAATTTCATTTGATGAAAAAATCAATTGTTATTTATATATTATAATAAGTTTCATATGAAATCAACTTATAAAAAAGTAAAAAAAATAAATAAATAAATAAAGAGTCAATTATTTTGTCTTACAATTGAGATAGGCAGCTAAAAGACAGGGTTGAGATTACTTGCCAAACATTTAACAAAACGGCTTTCAATGGAAATTAGAGCATTTGGATAAGGCCAAGTCCAGTAGAGTACAAAATGGGTCCACTAGTCACTAGAAATATGAAAACATAAAGCCAGTTTGTTCTCTATCATGCCAATTGCCAAATGGGATTTTATTAGGCACCATGGACTGGCTTGCCTGCTTGCCCTGGCATTGATGGTGAGACCAAGAACATGATCAGCAGCACTAACCATCCTAATCTTTCCAGCTAGCCGGTACAAGTACAGCCGGACAAGAAAGAAAAAACCACACATCAATAAAAGGTGTATTGGCCACGACTTAGCAGGTAGATGGGCCCTTTTTTCCCACAATAATTTGATGCAGAAACTAATCCACACGACCTGGTTGATGAATGTTGATGTTGACAGACAATGGAAAACCAAGCATGTTAAGTTATCCGAAGCTTATAATGGAATACTCAATGTTATAATAATTGAGGAAGACAGCATGTTTCAAGCAACCGTAATCAAATTTGCATTAAAAATGAAACCAAAAATATAAATTCTATAGGATTTATATGAATTATGTTGCATGTACATATGCCTGCCAATCTGATTTGATGTATATCTAAAAGAATATGTAAACAAGGCATAAAGAAATGCAGGTTATTAATTTTTGAGAATGATTATAGGAACAACCAAATGCTAGAAAACTAATAGTAGTAAAAGAAAAAAAAAAAAAAAAAAGCTTCAAAAACTTGTAGGGGTTTTGGATGGTTGGTCACCTAATTCAGAAAGCATCATCTCCATCTAGTTGGGTGGTGATGGCTCATTGTGCAATCACCTTCATTGGTATCTGAAACAGATGCCCCATCAACCAATCATCTATCACCTACATTTGCAGTGGTATGACTTGATTGTTGATCTTCATGACGGGAATTGGAAGGTTCTCTAGTAATCCGACGTTCCTTCATTTCATGAAAAAAAAAAACACAATGTAATGGTAAGTTTGAGAAAATTTATGCTGTAATTAGATTTTTTGGTATGAAGTTATGAACTAGATATGGTGCCTACATCCACGAATAGCAGATCATCTGCCTCAAGCATGTGGATAACATGCCCCATTTTCGGCCTCTTTGTGGCATCAGGATCAACACAGCGAAGAGCAACCAATAAAACACGTTTAAGTGCTTTTGAAGCAGGCATCTCAGGCAGCTTAGGATCAACTACTTCCTCAGCTTTTCGGTTTCCAAGCATGGTTTTTAGCCATTCCACTAAATTCACCTGCAATTGTTTAGTCATTTCCAACTGCAAATAAGCAAGATCATGAACTATGAAACTATATCAGGAAAGATGATAGGCCTAACCTCTCCCTGAGGTTGGCTATAATCAACAGGGCTTCTACCAGTTATTATCTCCATGATAAGAACACCAAAGCTATAGACGTCACTTTTCTCATTTAGCATTCCAGTGCAAGCATATTCTGGTGCAACATATCTAGAAAAACAACAAATGGTTGATTTCAATCACAATAACCACAGAAAAATGCCTTAATGCACATCAGCATTTGTATTTCTATAGCTTAAATAATAAAAAAAAGGGAACTGAAACTGTATGTCTAACAGCAAAAAGGAAATGAACCAACCCAAAAGTCCCCATTACACGAGTTGTCACATGGCTCATCTCAGAACATAAGAGTTTAGCAAGTCCAAAGTCAGAAACTTTGGAGTGCCACTGGCGGTCAAGTAGTATGTTGCTAGATTTTACATCTCGATGGACAACCTTTGGTTCAAGACCCTCATGAAGGTAGGCCAAACTGCAAAGTAAAAAAAAAAAAAAAAGTTCTCATGAGAAAGAGAGACGACTACTTAACGTGAAACAGTGGACAAAAAAGAAGAACCAAATTTACATGAAACAATAGAATTTAATTAATTAATATACCCTTTTGCCGTTCCCAATATGATATTTAAACGAATCTCCCATGTTAGAGGACTGACATCCCCAACATCCCCATGGAGCCACTGTTCTAAATTTCCATTGTCAATATACTCATACACAAGCATCCTACAGAAAAATCAGATGATAGGTCATATCACTTGACACTAAAGGATAACCCCCTAATCTCACCATGGAAGATGAAATATGAATGTACCTGTATGCACCTTCAACGCAGTATCCTAGCAGCCTTACAAGATTCTTGTGCCGTACTCGCCCAATCGTTTCCACCTCCACCTTGAATTCCTTCTCAGCTTGACCCCTGAGGATGAATCACTCTAGTGAGCCATCAAGTAAATCGTGCATAGACACAAGATGAGTATGTGACAAGGCCAGCTTGTTATCCAGACTTAATTAGGCGTAGAAGAAAGAAAGTCAAATGGGAGAAAATTATTTTCTTCCAAAAAAATCATGACAGCTTACAGAAGAAGCTCTAACAAACTCAAGGCAGGAATCTCCAAGAAAGAAGAAACCAATCGAGAGAGAACAACAAACCATAGATACCTCCACCAATCAATGATGACATAATCCATGTAACCATTAACAAAAACACCAATAATTGAGCTTTCCGTAATCAAAATGCATGCACAAAATAACACATAGCATAAAATTCAATTCCTTTTTGTGTTCTGAGACTATTATAAACAAATCCAAATGCAATTCATCGAGAACATAATAAACAGAAGGTAAAAGAACAAAAATTTGAACCTGTTATTCAACAAATTCTTGACAGCGACTCTAGTCCCATCACTGAGAACCCCACGATACACAATCCCATACCCACCTTCCCCAATCACATTCTCCGCACACAACCCATTTGTCGCCGCCTCTAGCTCTCTCAGAGTATACCATCTCCCCCACCCAAGATGCGACACCTCAGGCCCAACGCTGCCGCTCCCAAAAGACGGCGTCTCACTCAGACTGGCACTGGCCGCCCCTTTACTCTCCCCACTCGAGTACACCACCCGGTGCTCCGCCTTCCCTATATCCACCTGAATCTCCGGCGCCGGCCGCGCCGCATGGTGGTACTGATCAGGTGCAGGAGGGTGATGGACAATCTCCTGAATCTCCTTGGAAAGTGGTGGGGTAGGATCCAAGTGGTGGGGCCTGCGAGATTTGCGGCGAGAGGTAAGGCAGAGTGAAACCAGAAAGAGAGTGAGGACTATGACTGAACCCAGCAGGATCCCGATGACCACCCACAATCGGAGTCCGAAAATCGACGTGCGCTTGGAGAGTTCCTTATTGAAAAATGTAGCGTTGTCTACTGACATCTTTCTACTCCACGGTTTCTAGACACACCGCCTGGATACGATATTGGTGGTTAGAATTTCAAAACCGGGTGGCATTAGTCGGGGGTCGTCGGAAAGTAAAGATTTTTCCGGTGAATGAGAGAGAAAGAGCGAGAATTAGGAAAGATTCAAAAGAGATATGCAATTTGAAGAACCAAAATTGAATATTTAAAGCAGAATAAGCATTTTAGCTATTCTTCTGTACGGTACTTGAATGAGCATGGGTCTGTTTATTGCTTGGTTAAATCTCAATTTAGTCCTTCAACTATTGTATAAACCTCTAATTTGATCCATAAACTAAAAAAATTCTTAATTTAATCCTTTAAGTTTTCAAATCTTACCTAAATTGGTCCTTTTATTAATAAATAATTTACATACCTATTATTTAAAGGTAAAAATTATTATTTAATGGTCATATGTCACATTAATAATAACACATACTAACTTTTTTTTTATAAAAAATCAACTTAAAAATAAATCTAAAAATTTTAGAAATCAAATCAAGAATTATTTTAGTTTTGAAATCAAATTAAAAGTCTGTATAATAATTGATGGATAAAATTAGGGGTTTAACTTTTTTTCCTTTGCCGTCTAATTGGAGTTTAGTGTGGATGTCAAATTACTATTATCTCCTCTGTCCGATCCCCCTGCGTTTGGGGGTTCAGACACTGGCGGGGTATGTATGTAAAATTCGATGAATCCTAGAAGGAAAGGCAACTAGGTAACATCGGACGGTCAGAAAAGGGGATTGAAAATTTGTTGGGGGTGTCCCACATCGGATTGTTCCGTGGGGATGAAGCTGAAGCAAGCGGCGTGAATCTCGGGTAGGACCCACGGTGACCGATTCCGAACGTCGATGGAATGGAGCATCCCCTCTCGTATTTTTATTTTCTTTTGAAATTAAAAACATCTTTTCTAACTAATGGCTTGAATAATTCAATTTATTTATTTGTTTTGAAAATAAAAAATATAAAGTTTAAATTACATGACATATAAATAAAGTAAAATAAAGAATAAAAAATTATTAACTTTTATTATGTAACTAAAATAAAAAAAAATATTTCTTCTACATAATATTTAAGCTACGACAATGCTATAATGTGCTTTAGCATATAATTATAAATTATAATTATAAATGTTCTTTACCTTTGGACCAAATGGTTTATTACGAGTTTTTTTTGTAAAAACATTATCTGAGTTAAATGTTCAAGTCCTCAAATTCCCCTTTCTCTTTCCCCTTTAATATTGTAAGCATAATTGTAATATTGTGAAAAAAAAAATAAAATATAAATAATATTGCGAATAAATTTTTAAATAAAAATAATTATATAATAATTTGTCACATTATAAATTTACAATATCAAACTATTAATTGTCCTTAAAATATTTTTAAATCCTTTTATTTATTTATTTTTATTTAGTCAACATAAAATGAAAGTAAATTCAAAGATAAGTACTTACAAGTGACATTACAAGCTTATAATCTTGTAATATTATATATACATATATATATATATATTTAATAATATATTATAAATAGTTATAAATTTATAATTCTACGTACGGATATGATTGGTGAAGTAAATTCTAACTCAGAATTGCAATTGCTTAACACACAGTCCAAGACCACTGAATTGTTAAAACTTAAAAGTTCAAACTGAGTTGTTGGAGCTAGTAAAGGACAGCTTAGACTCTAGAAATGATCATTAGCTCACGCAAACATTGAACATATAAACCAATGAAGGGTTGGATAAAGTGGTAAGCGGCTTGTTCCAGTTTAAGCAAGGTCTCGAGTTTAAGTCCTTGCATACGCAGCAGCCTTTGTTGAGAGACTCACCCACCATTTTCAAGTGTGCGACCCGAATCGGGTAAATTAGTCGAACAAAACCTCGGATACCGGGCGAAAAACTAAAAAAAAAACATTGAACATATAACGTCATGGTGTTCTTTTGTTCAAAGGTTTCGGGTACCTTTCTTTCCTCTCTGCACGATTCAGTATTTTTTTCCTTGTAAAGACTAGTAGTTATGGTTATATAAGTTTGATATCAGGTACAGGGCAATGTAAGCTGAAAACATTACAGGTGTAGACATATTACAGTGAAATTTTAAAAAAAAATTCAGAGTTTGCACTCTATAAACTGTCCATAATGGTGATCAGTCTGCCTTTTTGTCAGATTCATCAAGGGCAGCCAGTCTCTCGACGAGGGGAGGATGAGAGTAATGATAAGCAGAGTACCATGGATCTGTATTCATAGCTGACAGGTTTTCTTCCTGAAAAATCATCAAGACTATGATTCAGATATTAAGCATATTTCATTTTAATCCACCAATCATGAAAAGTAACCACTTAACAATCTAACAATTCCAAAGAAATACCAAAAGAAATAATATGTACTGACTACATGTTTTCAACTGTTTATGGTACATCTAATTCAATTATTGAGGGACTTTAGTGCTAGGCAATTTACCTGCAGCTTCACAAGTGCGGCACGTAGAGAAGACGAGTAGCCAAGCTTCTTGGCAAAGGCATCAGCCTATATGAAAAAAGTTGCATTAGAGTATAGGAAAATCTCAATAACACTAGTACAAGGATGTGATGGAGAGGAAGGGTGAAAAATCAGAATTAGACTACTATAAAGATGAATTACCTGGAACTCAAAAGATCGGCTTACAAGATTGAGACCAAAGCTTACAAGGTGCTGGAGTGGTATCACGGTATGCTGCAGACAACAGAGGAACACAACAATGATTGGAAAATGTCAAGCCTAACCATACAGAACAGAACTAAATACTAGAAAATTGTTGCTACAAATAAGTAATGCCTGTGAAAACGAAATTGCTGCGCCCAAACACCACCACCCCACCAATAAAATAAAATAAAATCATAATAAATGTGTACCTGAAATATGATGAGGCCAATGAGTACAGGCTGAGTGTCAAACCCAAAACTTCGAAAGAGATCAGTTGAATTCCTGACAAGGGTATATCCTCCAAATTGCAACAATGTAAGTATCTGCATTGCAGCAGAAACAAAAAGGAAAAGAACATCATATCACAAAGGTACCTATTCAAAGCCATAAGAGTAGTTACTAAAACAGGAAATGCAAAATATGTACTAGAAAATTACACATGATAAAAGTAGCAGTGAATTAGGATGAAGCAGAAAACATATCACTGCTCTAACTTTTATTTGCAATATTTTTAATAAGCAGATAATAAACAGTTTAGCACACCTGCACAGCAATGAATGAGTACATGGTATGGTTAAGTTTCCAATGCCCCAGTTCGTGCGCAAGGACAGCTACAATTTCCTCATTATCTTTGCACTGCAGAAAATCAGATGAACACATAAAAACCTCTTTGACATAAAGGGAGATGACTAGACAGAGGAGAAGGTTTCCATTTCATCCAACTTGATAACTTTAAAGAAGACCATGCTTCTTATTGCCATTTTCCATGTAAGTTGAATTGGTATTTAGCACATGGAGAGCAATTTTGCATCTAATATGAAGTCATATAAGAAATTGTTTACCGATGGAAGGTCCATTTTGCTTCACTATAAAAGGGGTTTATATTCAACCAATTGAAGATAGAGAAAGAAACCATTATATTCACATCATCTCATGACAATTTAGAAATTAAATTTGGGGAGGCAGTAATGCAAATTGCGTATAAAACTTCCAAATTTCTAATTTTAGATAAAAATCTGCCATACCTGCTGAATCAATGTGTCATAGAGGACTATACGCTTGTTCTTATAGAATCCATACATATAGGCCTGCGTTTAAATAGACAAAAGATGAATCAGTACAAAACAAATTCGCACATTTCCTAGTCACATTTCCCTGTCTTTTAAGTATTTCAATCCTCATTTTAAGTCTAATAGTCAGTTAGCAATATAACTTAAAGCAATGCAGATAGCTGTCTCCAAGACCTACATATTTCTTAATGTCATTTTTGGTGGAGGGTCGAGGGGGTGGGCTTACAACTTTAAAATAAAGATGCCATGTATGAGACTATAAGTTCACTTAAATTTTGAACATTACTTGACAGAAGAGCTAAGTGAATACAGTCAATCAATCAGTGCACAGAGAAGCAATAAATTTAGAAGAATTGAATCCTTACATTGCTGTGGCTTGACCTTGTGGATCCATCAACAACAAACAATTTCTTTAAAGGGAAGCTGAGCGAGGCTGCAAGTTTCTCAATTTTCTCTCTTAGATCACCTTCTGGAAGCTATTTGTCACAACATAAACAGGTAACATGATACCATTGTGTGAAGAAAGTAAACATGTGAATGAATTAACACAAGGAAAAGAAATTCAAATACTCACAGGGGTGAACTTGTTAAAGAGTGGAGCTATCAGAACAGGGTAAAGTGTCATCATCACAAGAGAAAGGACAAACATAAATGCCCAAAGATAGATAGCGAGATAAGGACCTCCTTTCTGCAACCATGCAAATTAACATTCACCCATGGTGATGGAAGGATAAGGAATCAGGTTGTCATAAATGTCCTACATTACCAGTTTCTATCTGTGAAGTCTACTAAATTCAAGAAAAAAAGAACCAGAAGTATCGCCTAATAAGATTGAAATGCTAGAGAGGAAAACAGTTTTTACCTGTACTATTACAATAATTGCAGACACAATAGGTGGAGCCAGTATAATCGCAAGGCCCATCCCTTTGAACAGGTCCCTAAAGAATAACCATATTGTTTGCTGAATAATATAGGAATGAAAAAAAAAAAAGAATAAAAAATAGAAGTTAGGAAAGCAGCAAGAAATGTGACACATGACAGATGGAATCATAAATAGAAAATGAAAGAGCACAAGAAAGAAGTGGCATTTGAGAATACAAACTTTATTGAAACCATGGCGGGCCTCAATGACAAAAGTTGAACAGAGAGAGAATGGCAAATCAGTGATCTACATAAAAATTGTTCAAATGATGGTCAATAACTCATCAGAGCCCAAAACTTAGCAAATTCAATTTGATCATCATTTTCCATAAATATGCTAGTAGATAGATGGAACACATTAGAGATAAACACATGAGGAGGAAAGAGAGTATTTTCTTTCCCATAACAAAAACAAAGCCAGTTAATTTTCAGAGTTCAAAGATAAAACATGGATGCACCTGTGACCATATCATCACACCAGCCAAAAAAGCAAGAGTGTGCAGTATTTCATTCTCCGCATTGAGACCAACTAAAAGCAAAAAATTTCCTGATTTCTGCCATCAAAAGATAAGAGAAGAAATAAGACTTGTGAAAATCAACAAGAAGGGAGGGTCCACCAACGTAAAGCATACTTACCGTCCAAAACCAAGGCAAAATGCCAAAGATCAAAATTGCAGAATCCATCAGTATAGTCACGAATTCATGAACAAAATGGAAATAGCTGGAATCAAAGAATTATGCGTCAATCAAAATATTTTGAGAGAGATTAAGGCATTTATTCCATAATCATATTAACAATTGGGAAGGAAGTTTCTTTTAACCTCTTATCAAGACTATAAGCTCGAGACTTTTCAAATTTCTCTTGGCTGATAACTCCTTCCAAAGTTTTTGGCAGAGTTGGTAGTTTGAGAGCAGCATGTTGCCTCAAATCCAGATAAGTTTCAAAGAAATACATCAAGATCATAAAACCTGTTTAAATTAAAAGGAAAGAATAGGAAGGAAAAGGATATGTTAAAAGAAACAACCAAAAATTCCCACAAGCAACTCAAGTAAGCAGGTGTTAAAGAAACAACACTACCCATCAGGTCACAAAACAAACAAAATCAATTAAATTTCTTAAAAAGAAATGGAAAATTTCCATCACAATCAATAAACTCTCAGATCCTCTGCCATCTCATTAATTTCCTTCTCAATCATAGCTTAAAGCACACAAAGAATGCCAACCAATATATTAAAAGTTTCACTAGACTAAAAAGATCCACACTGTCTATAAATCATGAGCACAGCAAAGGCACAGTTGGGTACTACTCAACAAAGAACACAAAACTGAGCAAAACAGAATATTTAAGAACGAGGGTATCAAAACAACCAAGAAAATGTAAAAGCTTTGCGGCCATGGAAGTCACTCCAATAGCATAAATAAAAGGAAAAGACGAAAGAAATAAGAAACCCCAACAATTAAAGACGACAACCATGGACAATTAACATCTGAACCGAAATAGTGCAAAGCAGAAAAATTGAGTGATTCAGAAAGAACCCCATATCGATCAACTATAGAAAAAGAAAAAAAAAAATCAGGGATTTTTAAACCAAAAAAAAAAAAAAAAAAGAAACAAAAAATCTCAAGCAGCGAGCTGCAGCTGAAAGACAAGATTGGAGGACGTTTTCGTGAGTGTTTCAGAGATATAGAGATGCGGAGATGAAGGAGCAT